TAATTAGATAGGGACAACTAGGTAAAATTAGGAATAATATATAGTTAATTTCTATATCAATCATCCCATAATTAATGACATAGGGTTATATTTTATAACGAATGTTACGTGTGGATGAGATTATTTTAAGGTAACATTTGAATTTTATTAAGCTGGTATAAGACACATCAATACAAAAATTAATAGAATAACAAAATAAAATTTTGTGATATCTACTTTAAAATATAAAAATATCATTTTTTTTTTCTAAAAGTAAAGTATTGTATCTAAATATTTGCACAATAAGATTTGTAATATGATCTTATACCCAAAATTAAATATAATATTGTAGTAGATGTAATTATAATAACGTATGTAAAGATTTGAAAATTAAAAAGTAATAAAATCATAAATTAAATGCAGAAGTAAAATAATATAGTTTATGATTTACATTCCTTACACAATAATTTAGAATGTCCAATAAAACTACGAGAATGTCAATTTAAAAAAAATAAACAAAAATTAAAAAAATAAACAAAAGACAAATAACTGAGTTAAGGTCGGGGACGACCTTCATTAGTTTTTGAAGGAAGTCCGGATGGTGAACTATTCATAATCTTCTTATTTGTCGGAATCTGGATCTTAATCTTCTTGATCTGAAATAGTTAATGAAAGGATGAGCTACACTAACCCAGTAATAATATCACACTACCTACCGATACAGAAACTAAGTGTTAGTAAAAAATTATAAAGACAACTAATGAAACTCTTAATTTAAGTAAATTCATTTATCATAAGAAAAAATCATTTATTACATATATTTACCGTTGTAAGATTTTCAAAATAAACTTGTAGAGATAGTAACTCAAATAATATTATAATCTCATATTTTAGTGAGTAATAACAACAATTTTTCATTTTTATTTATCTACTAGTATTCATAGGGATGCCCCACTATGCGTGAACCAACATCCAACATTGTCAACTTATCGGCCAACCCCATAACCCGTTCGCTATGAGTACTAAAGTATCATCTCTTAATACCCAATCCAGTATGAGCGCCAAAATACTATTCTTCAATACCACGTCCGAGATGAGGGTGAATCGAGCCGTTCCCATACCACGTTCGGTATAAGTGCCAAAAATACCATTCATCGATATCCCGTTCGGTATGAGACAACGTCCACAGTAGGGTTCCTTATGTACCCGGTTCATTTACTATCTCCTAGGATATTCAGTAAGACGGTATTCATTGATTCACACGACCAAACAATTTTCTGTTCGCATATTAATTTATAATTTCCTAAATTAACCATAAATCACGCAAGACAAATAATATATATATTAAGGGAGCATAATTGAATAATTTAATCATTCTAGTATGTCATCATATATTTAAAACTGTAAATTTAACAATCAGTTAAACATGACAAATAAGTAACTAACCAGTTTCGTCTATATTAGTAACATGTAATTATTCTCGATATTTTTTAAATTACACAAAATACTATATTATCGATTATTAATATTTAATTTCATAATAGAGAATAAGGTGAGAGATTATTACCCGAATCGGTGTCTGAAATACTAAACTTTCTACTACGCCTACTAGCGATCTCCGGATTTTCTGAATTTTTATGCAGAGATTAAAATACGTTTCACATACCTAAAAATACTCTAAAAACCAAAAATCAGTATTAAAAATATTTTTTTCCGCCAATTTAGGGATTTCGACAAGGTGGTACTGTCGCCCGCGGTGGTGATTTACCTCAGCGTGACCGTTTTCAGCCGATTTTATACCTATCCCTGCTAGAAAACACGTTATAGGATATCGGTTAGTCGAAAAAAGTCAAAAAACGAAAACCTAACAGTGGCGGAGTGCGGCGGCTTTGCTAGCTTACCTTCGCGACTGGACATTTTTCTTCAGTCAACATGTAAAAAATAGAACGACGAACACAACGGTGAAAAAATCGCACGAAACAGAAAACGAGAATGGACTCATGAGAGGCGGTTGTGGGTTTTGCCAGCAGTTTTCGGCTCACCTGCCATTCCTTTTGCCCCAATTTGGCCATTGGGGTGCTCGGAATTAAATTTCGAACGGATATGAGAATTTTTATCTTTTTTGGCGATCAGAGATGGCTCCGGCGCTGTGACGGCCAGCGGTCGGCTCCCTTCTCCGATGACTGGTTATTCTTATTCGGTAGGAGGCTGGTAACTAGGGTTTGGGTTCGTTGTGATATGAAAAATTTATACTCGTTTTGTGTTAATTTGACCCGTTCATCATACTTGATCTCGATCATACGATCGCGTTTAAAAAATAAATAAATCTAGACCGTTCATCGCGATTTGATATCGATCGTCCGATGGTGTTTAAATAGGAAACGAATTTAGATCATTCATAACGTTTAATCGCGACTGTCCGATCGCGCCTGATAAGGAAAAAGATCCGGACCGTCTACGTACATAGGAACGCTTCTAGACCGTCCGATCGCAGGGCACACGGATTGCTAGTGTGGCCTCCAACGTGGCACCGAGTCAGCGTGCTTTGCCACGCGGCGCACTTTGGTTCATTGAGCCTGCTGACTGGGCAATCCTACGTGGTACAATTTTTTTTAATTGTGTTATGACCTCCAATTTCTGATTTTTCTTTCAAAAATACCATACGAACCCAAATTTTCACCCATTTTGTTCAATATTATTTTCAATTTTATCATCAACTTATTTTTTTTATAATTGCACATTAAATTAAATTTTATTAATTTTAAAACTATATTTTTATATATTTTTTGATGTTAAAATTAG